AATCCCCAGCTCCTCTTGGTGTTTGTGTGGGTTAGCGCCTGCTCCTGAGCCTGAGTACATGAACGTGCCTCTGGAAGAGCACGTGGTGTGCCAGAGCTTGGCGCTCTCAGGCCAGACTGTAAATCAAGAATCGAAGAACCACTGACCTAGAGACTTTTATTTTAGGGAGAAAGAAATGTGGGCATGAAATACTAAGGTGATGTGTGTTACAGCACTGGATCCTGTGTGGGGTTGTTTGTGATTTTGTCTTTACTTTCATGCAGATTACACAGTCTTCAAATCTGAAAGGCAGGCAGGCCTCACACGGTTGTTTACCTCTTCATTTGGCTTACTTCAGATAAAGTCAGGTTTAGGAAAACATCACCTTGGGACATATACTGTTAGTTGTCTTTAATAGAATACTTATTTTCTATAGCTGTGAACACAGTTTATTAGAAACTAAAATTCTCACTGGGTATGGTGGTGCATCCCTCTAATCTCACTACTTAGGAGGCTGAGGCAGGAGGATTGCAGTGAGTTTGAAGCCAGCTGGAATTACATAACAAGATCCTGTCTACAAAGACAGAAAACAGCTTAGACATTTATATTCTGTACACATGTTACACTGGTTGAACAGAATAACCGAAACTATTCTGCAAAGCTTGTAGACTTCTGGCCTGACATATAAAGCAGGGAGAAAGGGACACAAAGACCGGTTGCTTGCACCACAGCGTCTCAACTGAGACTAAATTATTGACACTTTTTGTAGCAGTGGTGAACATAGAATTTGCCATCTTAATCATTTTAGATTATGCAGCTTAATGTAGAACAGATTCCAGGACTCTTTCATCTTGCAAATCAGAAATTTTATGTCCATGAAGCGGTAATTCCCCAATCCCTGGAAATCAATGTTCTACTTTCTATGCATTTGACTTCTTCTACTAGACACTTGACAGCATAGCGTTTGTCTTTTTTTTTTTGCTTTGGTTTTTTTCCGGTACCGGGAACCGAACTCACGACCTTGCGCTTGCCAGGCAAGCGCTTTGCTGCTGAGTTAAATCCCCAGCCCCAGCGTTTGTCTTTTTAAGACTGTTGTATTTCACTCACATAATGTCCTGATGGTTCATCCATGTGATAGCATGTAGTAAGTTTGCTTTCCTTTTTTCCCCCTGTCTTCAATTCTGGAGATTGAGTTCAGGGATATTGTACCTCTGAGCTGTACCTCCAACCCCTTTTCTATTTTTATTTTGAGACGGGGTCTCTAAATTATCCAGGTTGGACTCAGACTTAGAATCCTCCCGCCTCAGCCTCCCTCATTGCTGGGATTACAGGTGCATGCCACTGTGCCTGGCAGATTTCTTTCCTTTTAAGGCAAATAATAATAATTCCTTGTATATGGGTACCACATCTCGTCCATCCATTCATCTACCATGGGACGCATGGGTTGCATCCACCTGAAGGTGATTGTGAATAATGCTGCCATGGACGTGGCTATGCAAATCATTTCTTTGACACTCCAGTGTCACTTATGAAAATATACAGAAGCAAAATTGCTAGATGATAATAGTATTTTAAAAAAATAATAGTTTTAAGTTGTTTTTTTTTTTTGAGGAACCACCACACTGCCGTCCAGATGGCTACGTTATTTTACAGTCCCGCCAGTGCGAGGGCTTCGTAGTCATAGCACTGAAGTCTCAAATCTGGACTTTTTTTTTTTTTTTTTTTTTTACATATTTTACATTCTTAAGGCCTTTCAAGGGGAAATAAGGTTACAAAATAAGTAAATTTCACAAGGAAGCTTGACAAGTCCGTAAGTCTCGGTGTTTAGCATCCATAATGCCATTGCAAAAGACACTGTGTGTGTGTGTGTGTGTGTGTGTGTGTGGTACTGGGATTGAACTGAACTCAGGGCCTTCACACTCAGCCACATCCCTAGCCCTCTTTGTATTTCATTTGTTTTGCTTTTTGCAACAGGGTCTCGCTGTACAGTTCAGGCAGGCCTTAAACTCACTTTGTAGCTCAGGCTGGTCTCGAACTCACAGTGATCCTCCTGCCTCAACTTCCTGAGTGCTGGGATGACAGGCGTGCGCCACCACGTCTGGTGGTTTTATGTTTTATTTGGAGACGAGGTCATGCCACATTGCCCAGGTTGGACTTGAATTTACAGTTCTCCTCGCTCAGCCTCCTGAGTAGCTCGGATTACAATGGGCCGCCACCCACCTACGCAAAGACGCCTGACTAATACCCAACAGTGGGATGTGACAGGCTGGTCGCCTTCGCCTTCTTTCTGTCTGTCCCGTGCTGGGGGTAGACTCCAGAGCCTTGCACATGCTGCACCTCAGCCCAGTAGGTAGTTTTTAAATAAGTAACATGGCATTTGCAGTCAGGACTTTGCCAGTGCATACAACCTGTTACCTGACTTGTAACATGTAATATACAACAGGAGTCTCTAGAAAGTGCGGGCAAAAGGTAGAATTGTGTCGTGCGACTCCTTTGAAACCTTGTGTTGAATAATACATAATAAATGCTCCCAGTTTTGAGGGGATTGTTGTTGTTGTTCTTACTGTTTTGTTGGTTTTTGAGAACTACAGGCTATGTAGTTCAGGCTGCCCTTGAACTCACTGTATAGTCTAGGCTGGTGTCACACTGCAATGATCCTCCTGCCTCAGCCTCGAGAGTGCTGGGGGAGTGGCCGCAGTTTTTAAGTCCTAGTAGGAATTTCTCTTGTCCTTCCTGTATCGCCTTGTAAGCTTATTTTTGGGGTAGAACACAGCGTACATTCTCCAGCATGCTCCCCTGCAGCCCATCAAGACTGCGGGCAGGAGGCAGCAAAAGTAGTACATGGGGCCGGGGATATAGCTCAGTGGCACAGTGCCTGCTAGGCAAGCACAAGGTCCTGAGTTCGATTTCTGATACCAAAAAAAGTACATTGTTTCTTTAACAGGTGGTGTTTAGGCTTGACTCTCCGATTCTGTCTGTAGCTGGAGGCAGACAGACACTGAATTGTGTCCTGTACTCTGGAGGGGGCACAGTGTAAGGGAGCTGTGCCCTGCCCTAAGGCAATAGCAGGGACTTCTATTTCCCTGCTGATCCTGGGAGCTGCGGTCACCCTGCCTGGAGACCAGGAACGCCTGTTTGAATGTCTCCCCGGAGATGGAGAGCCCCTCCTCCTCTGCTGTCCTGCCCAGTGCCCGGGGCCCACCTGTAGAAGCGCAGCACACACGGATGACTAATTTAAGGGCCCAGGAGTTATTTTTATGTGGCAAAAAGTATAAAAGGGAAGTAAATTATGGATAAATGAATGCCGTATTGTTAGCATGGTCTGGGATGGATTTCAGACTTCATTTCTTTGAGCAGACCCTCACTTACTATTCCTTACGGCCTGAGACCTTGCAGCCCTGCGCTGCCGCACCCTTGCTGCGGCCCAGCGCTCGGGCTCTCCGAGTCAGTGCCGTGGGTCCGCCAGAGGGGTTTCCGGCGCGGTCTCCTCGGTGCGGAGGAGCTGCCTCCTGCCCGCAGTCTGGATGGGCTGCAGGGCAGCGTGCTGGAGAGTGTGTGCTGTGTCCTGCCCCTTTGAAAAGTGGACTCGGGGAGACGATAACCTAAGTAGGAGCTGTCCGGCCTGCTGCATTAACCAGGGTCACAGCGCACGCTGTTAGTAAGCAGGGCAGGGCTGGCGGAGGCTCACAGCTGTCTGCACTGTGTGTGCACCTCTCTGGCCCCGCGCCCTCACTGCCGCTGTTTCTGACACAGCTCCAGACCAGCAGATTTGCTGCACGGAGATCTGTTGTGCCGCGCTGGGGTCAGCCCCACACCCCTCACGTGCTGGACAGGCACCCTTCTTGCAGCTGCAGCCCAGTGTAGTCCTTTTTTATCAGATCGACCTGTCTTCGGTGCCAGTCAGCAATTTTATCATTCATTCACTTATTTATTGGTACCAGGAGTCGAACACAGGATCTTGTGCTTGCCGGGAAGGTGCTGCGCCGCTGAGCTGAATCCCCGGCCCAATTTTCTCTTTTATACTGGGTAGGAGAGGCGGCAATGGAGAACTGGACTGTGTGTTCTTTTGATTTGTCTTTCTTTGCATTGGAAGCGAGTCCAGCCTTTGAGCTGTGGGGAAGATAATTGGTTGTGCAGTTCAGCCAACCGCATTACATGTGGTCAGTGTTGCGCTGTGAGTGAAACGTGGTCCGTGTTGTCTGGAGCATAAGCTGGCGATGCTCAGATAGCCCCACCCATAGGAAGGTGTGGATGGCTTTCCCTCCGCCAAAGCCTGCTCTCATGCTGGAGGGTAGGTTTATATCACTTAGATTGGTTTAGAACTTTTTTCCCTTATCACAAAAGTCACACTTGCCGATTATAAAAAGCCTGGAAAGAGTAAAAAAGATCACAAGGAGAAAATAATTTTATTTACTATCTTAGGCATTGTATATGCTTTTAAAATTATTTATTTACAGTATTTTGTAGTTCTGGGGACTAAACCCAGGCCCTTTGCACTAAGATACATCCTTAACCCTGTTGTATTTATTTTGAGACAGGGTCCCACTAAGTTGCCCAGGCTGAGCTCATACTTTCGATCCTCCTGCCTCAGCCTCCTCCCAGAGGGGTGGGCTTACAGGCTTGTGCCACCTCACACAGCGTCACCGAGTACCCTTTTACAACACAGTTTTAAACTGCTGCACGGTACTCTTTTGTATTGATGTCCTGTGGTTTGCTTATTTTACTATTCTGAGACATTATAGTTCGTGAATTCTAATTTTTAAAATTTTATTGTGGTTAGAACACATGAAATCTGCCTCTTAAAGTGTCAGGGTTACAGCCCGTGCTTGCTGACTGTAGGTCCAGCCCTGTTCAGCAGGCCCTTAGCGCTCACTCGTCGTGCTTGAGCCACACTGCATGCTCTCAGGCAGCGATTCCCCACTCCCCTGCTCCAATGCCCATAGCCTCTGCCGCACGCCAGTCCTTGCTTGAAGAACTTTGTTTGGTTTTTTTTGCTGTTACAAAGGGCAGTGTGGCTGTCGCTGTGAAGCGAAGAGGGAGGGAAGATGGTTTACATCTCGAATGGACAAGTGTTGGACAGTCGGAGTCAGTCCCCTTGGAGACTATCATTAATAACAGATTTCTTCTGGGGAATAGCCGAGTTTGTGGTTTTGTTTTTCAAAACTCTGCTTCAGCAAGATGTGAAAAAGGGAAGAGGCTACAGAAACTCGTCTGATTCCAGATATGATGATGGAAGAGGGCCACCAGGAAACCCTCCCCGAAGAATGGGTCGAATCAGTCATCTTCATGGTCCCAGCCCTCCTCCGATGGCTGGTGGATGAGGAAGGTAAATGTCTGCTGTAAGAAGCAGACAACTAGACATACACATTCATAGCAGAAGGAAACCATCAAAAAGTGGAGGTCTGACCGTGCTGGACAAGTAGATGAATGTGTATGTCTCAACAAGGATTGCTCTGTGTTCTCACAGATAAATGAGGTCATGCCAGGAATTCTCTCTTCAGGGATCTGGCTTGACTGATAATGCAGTTCTATAAATACATATGTTTGTCTCATTGTCTTTTTTGTATAGTTTATTAAAGTATTGGTATAATTTTAATAAATATTTTTAGGTTGCATACTGACCCTTCATCTTTATATAATTAAATCACAGAAACTCTGAACCTGAAGAAAATAAATAAAAGGCTGTGTATTTAGTACTATTGGTGTCCCCTTTTTTCAATTTCTGAAGCACTGTTCACTGTTCATTTGGTCTCATTTATAAATAAATTGCTATATTTCAGTAGTATGCATATATCTCTGCTCTTGAATTAATATATTTATTGAGGTACTGGGGATTGGTATTGTGGTACCCAGGACCTTTGCACTGAACTACACATCCCTAGCCCTTTTTTTATTTTCATTTTGAGACAGAATCATCTATGTTGCTAAGTTGTCCAGGCCAGACTTGAACTTGTGAACCTCCTGCCTCAGCCTCCCAGACTGCTGGCATTACAGGCATGCACTACCATGCTCAACAGTTTCTAATATGTTTATCCTATGGATCTTTAATATATTGGGTCTGCTTTGCTATGATATGTAATTAACAGGATATTTATAAAGCCATAGCTGAAAAAAGCCTGACCTTCATAATTAAGATATGTTAAATCCACGAAGCAATGCTTAGTTATGGTTTAGACCCAAAATGTCCCCACAAAAGTCTCACACATTCAGAGGTGGAGCTGTTAGGATGTGACTGAATCACTGGACTGAACTCATCAGTGGATGCGTTCATAGCTTATGTGCTGTTAGGAGGTGGCACCTAGTTGGCAGGGGTGGCTCACTGGCATGTGAGCTGGAAAAGTGTGTTTTTGTACCGCATCTGTCTCAGAGCTTCCTGGCTGCCAGGGCTGAGCAGCTTTCCTCCACCATGCTGTTGTTTTCTGGAGCCAGCTGATCACGGACTGAACCTGCTGAAAATATGGGGCAGAATAACCTTTCCTCCTTTAAACTGTGTCAGGTATTTTGTCCCAGTGGCCTCAAAGTGGCCAAAAGAAATGCTATTAGTACAGGTACCTCCAGCAGAGTCATTCCTATGCAATGCCCCTGAGATAACTCAGCCTGTCAATCATATC